TTTTTTTTTTTTTTTTTTTTACTTTTCACATTGCCTCTGTGTTTTATCTGTGAAACGGTCAACATGTAAATTTGTCATTTCGTAAACATCCCCTCCTTCTTCTTTTGCCTAAAGCTCGAGTTCCTGCTATTGGTCCAAAAAAGTGTTTAAACCATTGTTCAGTTTGATCCGGACCAAGACCGATTCTTCTGTTCAGACTAAATTTGGTCTGTCGGTCTGGATCGTGTTCTGAGGCACCTCTTACCTGACTCCAGTTATCTTCTGTTCACGTTTATCCTCGGAGTTCGTTTTTCAGCCAACGAATATTTGAATGATCATTTGTTTGTTGGAACTTTGCCGAGTTTCTACAGTTCCAAAGAGTTCACCTTCTTTTTGTTGCCACTGTCTGTCAGAAAGTTCCCCTGTCTCCTCTCTGCCTTTTGGAACTTTATTTGATGCACCAGCTAGTTTCATGGTTACACTGCTGTACGATGTTGCATTCAGGCTGTGGAGTGATTTACTGTTCTTACCATCGATCACAGAGCTGAGCCATTGGCCATTATTTGCACATCATTCTCTTGTCAAGCTTATTCAACCACAGCCTCAGTTAATTCATCACTGTGACCCTGTGACCTCAGACTTTGCCAACCTCTCACCACACTCCCTCTCCATTTCCTTTCTTGATTTTGCTTCTCAATTCCATTTTGCCAGGGGGCACTTTACAGTTCATCTACAGCTCTCCACTTCTTCCTATTTTTCGTCTTTACTTCGTCCTGACAGCTCCACCATTTATTAGTTAATTAATAAGCAATAGTTAACCAGGCCCCGTAATCTTTGGGCAACGCCCTGCCTCATGGGAAAACTCCACATCCCTGCTTATGTTTTTATCACACATAGTCTGTCTTGGTTCAGAGCACTGCGAGTCCAAGTTTAGCCAAAATCTATAAATAATTTCTTCCTTTTATATCTTCTGAAGCTCTCTGTTCTTTGTACCTACATCTACGTTCTCTCAGAAAGTTGCTGCTTTTGCTACTTCATACCCCTCTGAGCTCTTACAGAGCAAGTCCACTTTCATTATTTCAGTAATTATTTGGTCTTGCTGTAGCTCTGTTGCCAATATTACAGATCCTGAATCTGTTCCACAGTATTTTGTACACACAATGTACACACAATGTTGTATCAACATTTCCAGTATTTACTTATTTAGATGCTGTACATTCTAAATGCTGTTCTAATATTAGCTACGTCCTTTTGGACCCATCTGAATCATGTCTTTAAAATGTATATTCAGGATGTTTATCCACCACCGCCCACAATGATTCAGCTGTGACTGACTAAGCTCCTTCAGGACCTTAAAAAATAGATTTAACAATAAATTCACATTTAAAAATCCAAAATGAATGACATGAAATGAATGAAGGAATATTCAGCATAAAATATTCAGCATGAATCAAGTGGCGATCAACTATGACATCACCCGTTGGTTTGTGAGCTGCGCTTTTGATGCCTTGAGTTTGAAATTTTGACCAGTGCCATCATTGGATGGCACTAGCTGTCAATCACACGGTATCCATGTCCCAATGAGTAAAAATAAACATCCTCCTTTATCGAAGACTTGAAACCAGAAACTGAGACGATCAACTTTTTGAAAGTGAAGTAGGGTGTTTTTCCAAAAATGTTCTTGTAACCAGTGGTGTCACCCTCTGCTGGTCATTTGAAAGACTGTACAGGTTTCAGGCATGTCAGCAATGGCTTCACTTTCCCAACCTGGAAAAGTGAATGTCCATTTTCATCTACAGTCTCTGGCATGAACATTTGAACTACCAATATCTAAATAACATCATAAATGTTGCCCAGAAATGGCCTGAGTGATGCCCTTGTTTTTGTTGGATCGGGACATGAACGAATAAAGACTTCAGCTACAAATGTGTACATTCTTGTAATTTGGTGAAGGGATGTACCGACTCTACTACCTAACCGCTATTCCTGGGATTTGAATCGTTGCTACTAACAGAGAACTCACACCTTCCAAATCCAATTAAAATTCCAGATTGTCACATTGATGTTTTTTAGGTTTGGAGAGCAAAAGAAATGTCCCACTTTTGTGTCCCTTCCCTTGTGTCAAACTTGGCATCGCTGCTTGGCTTTAAAATAGAGTGTCTATTGAATTTAACTATGAAGCTATTTTTATAATTTGTTTTATGAGCCCACACTCCACTCCACCTGATTGATCACATGGCTGCTGCACAAAAAGATATGAACAAAATAATGTCCACCCCAGAAAAATGACAGAAACAAATCTATATGCTTCCATTCAGGTGGGAAAAGAGCAGCTTTGGGATGAAAATAAAGCTTTTTATTCATAAAGTGTGATCTTATTAATGATTAAATGTAGTATTTTTTTAGTGTTGGACATTTTTCATGATTTTCTAATGATACTACAAGGTTCAGTCCATCTGTGCTGCAAGTAGCAATGAACAAATGTGCAGAACTACATAAGTACAGTTTGTGTGAACTGGAGCTGTTTGACTAAGACAAGACAGCACTTTATCCCAGTGGGAGGAAAGAAAGCAGATAAAGTGAACAGCGTTTTAAGTGTTCGTCCCATTTTTGTCACAAAAAATGCGTCTCTGTGACTTTAGTATAATATTATTTCATCGTGCACTGATCAAAGCCAAAAAAATAAGTACATCAGGATTTACAAGTAGGTTATTTGGAAAAAAGCTTATCCAAAAAAAAAGAAGACATAACCAAGTTTAATCTGCACATAAATACTCCATGGAAATAGAAAATCACATTTATTTGCTGCAAAAACACTGACGTGGCAACAAAACTAAATGCCATCTCATATTGTCTCAAATATTGGAACAGAGTCTGTCTGGGATGAATAATAACTTCGCCTCCTGCATATGATTAAAGGTAAATTCCGCCCTCAAGCATCACTATCCCATTAGACGACATCAAATTCATGTCATGGGTTATTTTTGTGCTATTTGATGGGATGGGTTCCTCATCAAGCGATTTGTACAATTTTCCTACAGTTCTAAACCCTTGCGGAGATCAGTGACAAACCAGTAGCACGTAGAAGTGGCCACAGCAATATCATGATAAGAGCTAGAGAATGAGGAGGACAAATTGGTTTCGCTGTCTTCTTCCATGGATTTGTTTGCATATGACTGTGGAACAGCTGGTGCCACTGCGTATTCTAAGTCCAGAAAGAAGCTCACGCTCTTTAATTCCGAGCTTTAACTGCTGATGTCTTAGAGGGACGATTTTCTACGACAATAATTTCCAGCTGTGCAGAAAATGTCTCAGCGTTGCATTTGGCCTGCTAGCCGTCAGAAAAATACAAAAGCTGGATCTCATTGCAAAAATAGACTCCGTTAAAGGAATAGACTTTCATTCCTTGAGTAACTGCAGATATGAAGATATTGATGAAACGCTTGTGTCTGTTCAGTAAATATGAAACTACTGCCTGGAGACAGCTTCCTTAACTTAGCACAGAGACTAAAAACAGGCGGAAAAGCAAGCCTGAAGCACATGAGATGACAATTTGCCACTTTATAAAAGGTTATACATATCTCACTATAGATTCGCCAGTTTCCTGGCAACCAGCAGAAAGTCCAGGAAGTTACTGCTGCTGGTCAAGATCTAGATATATGGTGGGTTAACCCCTGCGAGGTAGCAAATTGACATTACTGTTAATTAGTACAGATGTTTTCAGACAGATGTTAGATCTATTTCACACTGTTTCTGCTCTTGTGTGGCAAACTAGCTGCTGGCTCCAGCTACACGTTCACAGCACATACGTCATCCATCGTTCTTCTCATCTCTCACTCATCTAAGTTTACAATCAGTTGCAAAACAAGCTGGTAGATAAAGATAGAAATCTGGTCTCAGCTACCAGCCAAAAAAAAAACAACCTTATCTCAAATAGGAAAATGTTCATAATCATCATAACAGACGGAGAAGTTGAAGCCGTCTACATGCTGCTCTTTAACACCGCTCTTTCTTTTAGTCAGCAACAGCATCACCTGGAAATAGGATGTCAAGAGCTGTAGGCGCTAAAGTTATAATTGTTGTAATTATCACAGCGTAGGTAGAGAGAGCCGGGTGATTGGTCCAAGTATGAGTAATGTATGTAGATAGATAGATAGATAGATTATTCTCTTACCTTGAGCATGTCGCCTTTGTTGAAACTGAGTTCATCGCCCTCAGTGGCACGGAACGTATACAGTGCCACTGCTTCCATGCCGAAACCCTCCAAAACACACACACACACTCTCAAACCCACACTTTGGGGACCCCCACTATTGCCCCTGACACGGGGAAGGGGGGTGGCAGGCAGGGAAAATAATAATAATATGAAAAGATAAAGGAAGATGGTACAAAGAAATAACAGACAGGAAGAGAGGGAGAGGAGGAGAAAGGTCCTGTCCGTCCGCCGAGCTTGAGAGCGCGCAAGGGAGACGGAGAAGAGGATGAGAGAGAGTGAGCTCGGTGAGGGGAGAAAAAGACGACTGGCTGCTGCTCAGCAACACACTGCCATGAGTAACGTTTAGAGAGAGAGAGAGAGCATGAAGGGGCGAGTGAGTGGGAGGCACTTCCTGTGTATATATTTGTCATACACTCAGTGTGGCTTTGTGGATTCTATGTGTGTGTGTGTGTCCTTCAATCAGTTGTCTGCTTTGTTTGTCGTTACTCATTTGTCGTCCCTGCCAACCAGCTTTATCTTTTCATGTGTTCTCGAGGTGAAGAGTGAGCTCATGTTTTCTTGCTTTTGATTCACCTTTTTTTCCATTCGAGAGCGTAGTCATTCAGTTTGAGAATGTGACTTATTGATTTCATGTTCAGATCTTTGCTATCACTCAAAACCCAGCACTTACACTCAAATAGCCCATCAGATTCTGTCTGCTTGTACTCAAACTCTGCGCTTGCACTCTAAAATGTTGTTTGGTTGAATGCCAGGTGTAGTGTTGATACATTTAATTGTTGACCCATTTTTGCCTTGTGAGCGTGATATCTAAAAAACACCTCCAGGGAATCCTTTCAAATTTGGTGCAATAATTCACTTTGACTCAAAGATGAACTGATACAGAATTTGGTGGTCGAATGTCAAAGGTCAAGCTCACAGTGACCTAATAAATCATGGTTGAACTTGATATCTCGTGTCTAACTCTCTCCAAACTTTGACCCGATGTCACTTGGAGTCAAAGATTCACTAATAACATTTCAGTGGTCAAAGATCACATTGACTTCATATTAGTGTGCAGCTGTGGCTCAGAGGGAGCGGTCGACCAGGCGGTTCGATCCCAGTCTTCCTCATTCCACATGATGCTGAACCCAAGAACTTCTCATACGGAAAGTGCTACACATAGATGCTCTGTGTGAATGTGTGTGTGAAAGACCAAAACTGTACTGTAAAGAGCTTTCAGTGGTCATTAATACTAGATAAGCACTATATAAATCCATTTACCATTCACTGTGAATGCAAGAACACCTGGAGGGACTGAAGCTGCAGGTGGAGGCTTACAACAGAAGGATGCTAATTCTAGTTTAAACATATTTTCAGTGTTTCTCACTTCTCGGATCATCTGTCCCACTTACTGACTTGAATTCAATGTCGCGAGAAGTAGATCCTAGGCTAAGGCTGGAAACAGTGGACAGTTAAAAGTGCTTTGTTATTGAAGAGCCATTTCATTTCAATCCCTGAAGGCCCCGCTCAGGATGTGTGGATTGAATCACCATGACACTGTGGGTGTAATTTTTCTCACTTCATTTACAACTTGAAATCAAAAACTCAGTCGGGAGTTGTAAGAGACAATGAGGTGAATTATTGTTCCAGTGAAATGATGTGAAAAGCCGCTGGTTTGAATATTGCACAAACATCAATACTTTACAGTCAGTCATTCTCTTTTTCAGTGTAAGATACAACAAGCACACTTCACTTCTTCTTTCTAAGGTCTGAATTGCCGAAGCTGCACACTGAGGCCACAAGCTGAGGAAAGCAATCAGCCCTTCGCTCTGTCAAAATACGACTTGAGAAGGGTTTTCTTCAGCCGTTCAAAAAAATCCTGACTGATGTGTTTGTATTCTATGTCATGAACTCATCCTGCAGTACAATGGACAATCTAACAGTTAAGTGTATAAATTGGGTTCAGTGTTGTGTGTAGACTTGAAATTGAATGTGTTGTAGTCTAGTGGTGCAGCCATACAGTACTAAATGTGTCTGAGACTTGTGAAGGTTAAGTTTAGGTTTGGATTGCAAAGTTTAAACAAAGGAATAAAAGCAGCAGTGAAACAAAAATAAGCCTAAGCATCGATCATATTTTCACACAGATACTTTTTTCTGATATTTTCCGGAGCTTCGCTTTCAAAACACATGAATAACGCAGATTATCTGGGTCGTATACATTCACAACAACACGAAAATGTCCGCAACATTCAGGCGGGCATGCAGGAGGCAGGACATTTAGTTCCAGTTTAATTCCACTCCCTCCCTTTTTCAGCCTGAGATATTCTTATTCTTCCAGTTTCACATCTCTCACATGTTAGAAACATCATCAACACGGCTGCTCACTTGCTGGGAATTTCCCTGACATTCTCCTGTTGTATCTCTACATCTGCTCACTCCAACTTTTTCACGATATTTTCCTACAGGGCTAGCACGAAGAGTTCGGAGACATGTGAGGACGTCAGTGTGAAAACAGCTTCTACTGTGTATTGAATGCATTAACATAAGAGTCTGGAAACTTCTGCTCATACTAAGAAATGATTTTGACCATTTGGGTTAAAGTAATTACCACATTATCAACCACGCCTCAGGAAAAATATCAGCTTGTGTGGCATGAATGTGAATGAGTGAGAGGCCAGAGAAAAGGTGAGGGGATGCAGTATTAGAAAATGAAGCAGATTAAGGCAAAGCAGAACAGCACAACACCATGGAGGGACTGTGTTTTCCATAGCATGACCTGTCCAGGAAATCCCCGGTCAGCTGCTCGCTTGACTCAGCCCTGAGACGAGGGATTGCAGGAAGAGGAGAGGAGGGCTGGATGGGACAATAGAAGAGGAAGAGGAGGAGAGGAAGTAGAACTTCCTTTCAGCTCAAGGGCCAAAGCACGAACTTGTTTTTTAACTTTTTTCCCCCTGTCTTTTGCGTGGGAAGATTTCCTGTGTAATTTAAACATGAGCTAGGATTGAGAAATCAATACAACCTGTACAGATGAGCATCCATTTGGGAGCTTAATTTAATCTCAGTGCTTGAATTTGTGCCAATGTTGTGTTTCTGTGCGACACTCCCCAGTAGCACATATACTCAGTGATACACTGACTGAAAATATTCACGAATCTTCTCCCTCATCTCAGTGTGGATGTAAACAAAATTCTGTAGCCTACAGCTGTGATGCGTTATGTGTTACCCACCACTCACAGGCACATCCCATATGCACGCTTGTGCTTTTCTGCCTGAGTGACACTAACATTTCTTCCTGTCAGGCGCACTGATGCAGAGGATATGAATTCGATGAACTGTGGTGTGTGTGTTGTGTGTGTGTCGATGGAAGCAAGTGGGCAGCAGCGGAAGAGCAGGTGGGCGCAAACTTTCAACTTCGCTTCAAAGTCAGTGACAGTGCTGCCTCTTTCTGTTTGGTCTGAGGCCCAGTTTCTCAACAGTTTGTCTTCACGCTCTTTTTTTTCTTAGTATTATAGTATGAAAAAAATCTGTTTCCACGTATTCTCTACCCCTCCTTCATTCTCCTTATGTAATATTGTCTTTTTCGCATGTTATTTTTAAAAATCCCCCTTTTCTCTGTTTCTGTCTTTAGCTTGTCTCTCCCCTCCTCTCACTGGTTTTACGAAGAATTCCGATTTAAATCATGTTCTCCACACTCATGCACATATTGAACAGTAGGCAGGGAGCAGGGTGAGATGGCAGCTGAGCGAACAACGCTGGTTTAGAAAGGTTATATAAACTCACTGAGACTTGGGGGGATTTCCTTTGGGGGATTTTAGTTCTTTTAGTGACATTTTACATAGAAGCAACACAGAACAGCAGACATCATTTTTTTAAATTAAAAACCCACGCCATGTATATTGGACATTAAATATCATGTTATCATTTTAAATGTGTAAATAAGCTCCACTCATAATGTCACCCTTTCAAAATTGTAAGGCATGTTTATTACTCTCTGTAATTATGGTGTTTTTTGGTGGAAACTATCATTTGACCTCACTTTGCATCACTGGTTTCACAAGGATGAAAGTGTCAGCAGTGACACTGAAACCATAGTGGGAAAAAAAAAACGTTTCACATGTGTAATTAATAATTAAATGTTGTGTTTTTAGCTGATTTAAAGAGGAAATAAAACATCTGGCATCAACTTATGCAGAAAAAGTGTTTTAATTAATTCTTTGCTGCAAAGAAAGAATAACACTGTGTATTATTAATGTTTCCATTGTTACAGTGGTTTCAAAGAACATAAGTCAGTTTTGTGGTTTATGTGGTTCCTGCTTGAGAGTGTGTTAGCAACAATGAGAGGCTGAGAACTGCAGAGTGGTGTGAGAAAGAAGAAGACTGATCCCCTGAGCGTTATTGAATTATAGATTTCAAGATGGAACTTTGTCTGTTTTCTATTCCTGCTTATGTAAGAGTTGTAAACTGGAAAAATCTACATGTTGCCTGCGATGGCTGTCGGTAATTAAAAGTTTAAAATCTCATCAGGTATTTGTGATAAAACTGCGTGAATGTCAACTGTTTAAGCTGTTCAGCACTTTTTCTTCATGCTCACCTTCATGCTCCAGGTAGAATCCACACCTGCCCCCAGCCAACATTAAACCATTTGCATGTATGAAGAGATTTAGCTAATAAGCCGGCAGGAGTGGCAGGTATTAGACTTGATCCTTTTACATGCTTCTGTCACCTTCTGTATTTCTGTTGATTTTGGCTCCATCTGGAACCACGTGTGCCGCTGTGAGCCACAGACTGAATCCTACGGCTCTTTTCCTGTTTCCACATTACGCAACTTTGCCGGTTTCGAAACAGATGCACCAGTTATTCATGCAGCTTATCGGGCGTCTCTGTACATTCATAACTTTTCTTTTGTGACTTTGTTGGCACATGACTGAATGGTCGTCAAATTAAATCCCATCTTGCTGCCTTTCCGGCTGCTGTTTGCTGCAGTCAGGGCCTGAGCTGCTGGTGTGTGACAGGACATCACTTATATAATGTGGATGAGATATGGCAAACAATCACTGACAGAGATTGAACTTTATGAGCTTCACCAGTGTTGTATTTATGGGCTGGTGGTTTCTGGGGTGCTGTATATGGATTCTTTTAATTAAAGTCTGAAGAGATAGAGATAAGAGGACAGTGGACATCGGTGCATTGCATTTGTTGTTTTTCTCCAATGTGACAGGCCATCTTCAACTGCAGCTTGGTCCTCTCCTCTGATGGGTCTACAAGGGTTTCTTGCGAGTAGTTTAAGATGCAGATGTGAAATAATCTGTGACAGTGCTACTAATTTATGAGTAAATGACGAGGGACATAAAGTATGTGTTGGAAGAACTGAGCCAAAGAAATCTTTAAGAAATACAAAGAACAAGGTATGAAGTGGAATGTCGGCTTATACTTTGACTTTTTTGTTTGCTCTATGTCCCATTTACTAACACGGAGGAGGTGGAGTGTTTGTCCATCAAGATGCTTGGGGTCATTTTCGGGGAGCTGTCATGTTGTCCATCTTTACATACAGTCTATAATATTTAAAAGTACTTGTGGGGAGTACTGCATATTGAAAAAGAGGACAGAAGTTTTCTCAGACTGGCTTTAGTTCAGGAAGCTTACGCCAAACAGCTAGGAAAACCTCACAGCTGTAATATAACTGTATTTAAACCAGGTGTCCAAAACAAATGACACTATTCAGTGTCTCTCTGCTCAGTCAAACCTGTTTGTGGCTCTTTCTTCATTATACTCATGTGTGACTCAGAATACAAATCCCTGGTCAGTGCAACCTGAGGGTTGATGAGAAGCTAGGGGCCCGATGACGCTCTAATAGGATGTGAGCATTGTGAATGGGGGTAATTACATGAAAGCAGGGAGACTGTGGTGTTTAATGTTAATTAGCTCTAATGACTTTTTAAATCAAGGGTCGCCGATGCTAATCACATATTGAAGGACACACATGGCTGCAGGGGTTCCGCTCGGTAGACCTCCCAAGTCCCCCCCCCCCACAGTACTACCCAAACATTTGCATTGTGAAAAGTAAATCACTCCTGACATCTACTGGTTGAAACTGGACCTGCAGGAAGACCAGATCCAGACGTTGTCTCCCTCACCTGAGATGCATTGACTTCCCATTGAACTATTCTACATATGGTCTAATAGCAGTCAACGTTTGCACAAGCTCAAATGGGCTTGATAACATCCAGACGATATGATTAGAAATCCTCACCACTGGATAAAGCGAGTTAGTAAGTTGCGTAATATGCCAAGGTGACACTTTGTGAATGTTGATGCATGTATTATTTTTACATGTTGTTTGCAAAATCATTTTTTGACTGAGACCAGAAACAACCTTGAAAATCAGTTTTATCTTTAATGACACTGCAAAGAAAGAAAGTATTTATCACAAATGTTGGAGGAATTCCTGTTGTGTTTGATTTCCTGCTGTATTATAGATAATCTTATGTTAATATGTATATAATAACACAGAGACATACCGCCCTCTTCTTGTCACCTCCAGTATTACTGCACAAACAGACTTATGTATGTAATCTTATTTTTAGGAGAATCATATCTGAGCTAAATATTGACCGTGCCAGTGTGTTCCAGGAGTTGTGCTTTCAGTGTGGCTGTTTTGAAGTCTACTGTGTTGAGTCATTTACACACATTTGTTGATATAGTCAATTAGTTCATTCGAGTAACTATTTGTATAAACACTAGGACACTTTGGTAAAGGTCAAAGAAGTAGGACTTTACCACCTATTTCCTGGAAATTCTTAATCTGCTTAATGAAATGCAGACATAAAATATCATTTTTGTTTTGGCATCCCAATATGCAAATGTCATATTTGGTCTCTTTTAAGCAAAGTGTGGCTGACCAGGTTTTGTTTAAACTCTGCTGGTTGGCCTGTCTTTTTTCCTCTTTTCTCACCGTCTCACGCAGAGAGCAACAAACAAACTTAAATCAGCTTGGCTTAGGCTTCCTTTGGCTTATCCTGTGCTCCCGACATAGCAGCTCCAGTGAATCTATACAGAGACGGGGAAAAGGAACAAAGAGGAATGAAATTGTCAGTGGTGGCTCTGGAGGTATGGCATATTAATAATAGACAGCAAAAAAACGTTTACAGACACCACATTGGCTGTCCACTTGTACTGCAACTCAGGTGCTGGCAGAGATGCAAACTCTGACACTTTGGATCCCTGCTTCTATTTTTAAGTGACGCACTCTACATTTGCAACATCTACGCATGTAGACGTCTATTCATAGCTCACTAAACACTTTTAAGGGAATCTTTCATGCCTATTTATAGCACCTGATCAGATGGCGTGTTTTGCATGTGTGTCTAAAGCATGTGATGACTTTATCCCCTCCCTTCGTTTAAAACTGACTGGTTGCACAGAAACAGTGGAAACGTCTTGGTGATGGAATGCTGTCCATGAACTGACACACCTGTAACGCACACACAACAAGGTACTTCTATCTAAGCGAGGACAGTCATTTGCACAATGCATTCCCACGCGGCTTCAGAATCAGGGTTTTATTGCCAGGCAGGTTTACACATACAAGTAATTTGCAGTGGTTTGTTGGTGCAACCATAAATATTTGAATAGAAAACGGTATGAAAATATAATAAACAGTAGAAAGAGGGTTGTGCAAAATGAGCAATGGATATTTGCATTTATATTTATCATTTGAAGTATGTCAAAATAGGAACCTGACCCTAACATTTGCCTTCACAACTAAATGTCTAACACTAACCTAATTCAAACTCTGTGTAGCGATCCTTGTTAAGACTTGTCATCGACTCCCATTCATTGTGGACAGCTGAACCAAAACACCCTTAAAGAGCAACTTGCATGTACATTTTTTTTTTTACATAATTCATACTCAGCCTTGTTTAAAAATGATCATTCAAAAAGTTAATTCAGCATTTATATCGTTTTTTAGAAGACGAAGGTGGAAAAATTCAGCATTGCACAACAAATGCTTTTCGTTCCCTACCCGGTCATCATTACATCACATAAGGGAGTCGTCTCCACAGTGAACTGCGTAGTAGTTGGTAGAGTCTGATCGGTTTTGTTTTATTTTTCTGGAGTTTGACATTATATTTCTCCATTTGTGACCATGTCGCTGCTGGCCTCCGAGCCTGGCTGCATTTCCACGTTCCAGTTTATACCCAACCACAATTCACGTTTCCCCCAAACCTTAACCAGGACATCAGAAATGCTTGTAAGGCCTCGGCTTTGGTCCCCATGATGTCTACTGGTCTGGAGAAAGACTGTCCTAAAGAGGCCATAAGGCTATTCTTGGCTTTAACAAATCATGACATGCACAAAGGTAATTTAAAAAAAATAAATGTACTGACTCAGTTTCCTGAGAAGAACCTGATTTACCTGAGAGGTGTGTTCAGGCAGTCTCTCACCGAACAAAGCAGAAGAGACAGGGGTTGTGCTTTAAAACGATCAGACAGTGTTGACCCGCTGCCCACATGGCATTCCTCTGGACAAACCTACAATCACACACACTGTAACGAGGAGGGTCACAGAGGAGCAGGCCTGGTGCGTGTGGGACTACTTGTGGAGGGTCGTCATCATTTTTAAACAGTTCAGCTGGGGAGAGGAGGGTTCCATGCGCCCCGGGACAAGTCACTCCAAGCCGCCCGGGGTCACACCCTTCCCAGCCTCCCCCCTCCTCCTCCCACTGTGCCCGCCATGTTCTGGAGGAGGAGATACGTGTAGCCTGGCTTTAGCTGGCTTAGCATTAGCAACACACAGCTAAGGCGGAGGCGCAACAAGCTCTTAGGACGCCGAAAAAGAAGTGATCTCCCCCCCTTTTTTTCTTTCACCTCCTCGGATTCGGCGTCGCTGTTGTATGGGTTTAAATCCCGGGACTGAAAGCAGAAGCTGACAGAAGACACGGTGAGTTTTTCGTGGGGGTTTCAAGACGATCGAGTTGTTTGTGGGTTTTTTTCCCCCTTCTTCTCCAGAGTATGTCCTGTAATCCAGTTTTCTCTGGTGATGTCTCCACCGAGCACCCGTCTTGGCTAGCTAACTAGCCTAGCATGCTACATGGCTATCTCGGCGTTGAAAGTAGATTCGGGAGCCGGTCGGATCCCGTTGTGTATCCAGGTACAGAAGCGGCTGTAGAACCGATAAACTGTCACTACACCGAGCGATCCACAGATGTGATTGAAGCCGGACTCCTGCGGTGGCTTTGGAAGGCTAACCCCCCCCCAGCGCTAGCTTCGCCAACTTTTTTTTCCCCAAAGCCAAGTTTTGTCAGGAATTAGCCCGAGTCAGCGGGTGTATCTGCCCGGGGCAAATGTTCACCTCAGTGGCAAACCCCCAGTGGACGAGAACACGCAGCTGAAATAATACTAAAGTCTGGTTTGACACTTTTTTTGCGCAGAATCAACGCAAGTTAACATCGTCCTGCTAGCGTATTTTGCTAGCTAACAACAGATACTTGACGGCAGTTGACGCAAGTTTGCTCACAACTCGCTAGCGTTAGCAGCAACAGCTGAGAGCTAGCTGCTCCACGCGATGCAGTTATTAAAGCGACTGTGCTCCTCTGCTTAACGACACACACGGAGTTTTTATTTACAAGTCAAACCGGTCATTTGACGAGTGTGGTTTGAAATGCGGCTGAGACAGTTTATCAAGCACGGGGCATTTGTATTAGCTAAAGCTACGTTAGCTCGTGTGCTATCAGTGACATCAGTTCAGGGAAACGCCGTGATTTGCGTGTTTGTGTGTTTGCTTAAAGAGAGGCGTGATTTTTGTGTGTGTGTGTTGATAATAAACACATGTTCTGCCTCCATCCTCAGCCCTGATACCGAGAAGGTTAAACCACGTTGCTGCGAGTCCTCCAGGTACAACTTGGACATTCTTCTCGGTGTGGGCGCTGTCTGTTTACACGCTCCGCTTCCAATCGGCTAACGCTGCTGGTTTGTTTGCAGAGCGATAATGAACAGAGGCAGAGTTTATTCAGTTTATGGTCTATTGTGGAGGTTTTACATTTTGGTTTTGTTTTTTTTTTGTCACAGCTCCACTTGGCTCGTTTAAACGTGGCTTGAGATAGGGGCAGGGCTTTGTCTATTGTCAGGATGATCAGTCAGTCACAGTGGGTGACAGATGCATCATCACCGTCCTCCTCCCGTCCCTGACTTGGCTTTGTCTCTCTCGGCCGGCCTGGGGGGGACAAAGGGCGGGGTGACATGCAGATCAGAAGGTGGCATCCCCTCCTGTCTTTTCCTCGTCGCTCATACCACTGCACACACACTTAAAGTCTCCTCTGGAACATGGGGAACTGGATTGATGATCTGTGGGTCAGACTTGATTTGATTCTGAGTTTGGCACGTACGTGCTTAATCGTTGAATAGTTGACTATTCTTGACTGCTTGTGGATCAACCTGAATTTACCTGAAAATAAGGAAATGGATGCTTTGATAACCACCTCATCCGGCCTGGGAGGACAAAAGGCGCTGTGGCATGCAGATAAGAAGGTGGCATCCCCTTCTGTCTTTTCCTCATTGCTTCAAGATCACTGCTCATCACACCGCACGTATATCTAAAGTCACTTTTGGAACATGCCCTAGTGGATTGGTCATCCGTGGGTTAGACTTTAATTGATTCTTAGTTTGGCCTGTATGTGCTTAATCCTTGAATAGTAGAGGATTAAATGTGGCTGCGAGTTGCCTGTGAATGAACCTGAATTTACATGAAAATAAGTAAATGGATAGTTTAAAAACCGGCTGGGCCACTTGGTGTCACACTTTGGCAGACTCATCCCCAGGTTTCTTAACCGAAAGTATACTCTGTCACACACAGTCACAACACACGCGCCTGTTTGTTGAAGCCGTCTATCTCCAGATCAGCTTTACTCTCGCTGTGTGGGCCAAGCAAGGTAGACCTGTTCTCAGAGTACTGCCTCTCAAACCTTAATGCTAATTACAATCAACCTAGGTTTTGCCAAGACAGCCACATGTAAACACAAAAGATAAACGATCTGTGTAGTGTGTACCTGCATCAGACAATTCATGTTCACTTCCTTCTTGATGGACTATCTATCTCAATATTTGCTTCTCCACAAGTTTTTTTCAGTCCCTGCTACATCTCATCTGCTGCAAAGCGATAACTTTCAAACTAAGTTCATGCGTCTCATTTCTTTGCAGACGTCAATGTCTCCATCTCATTTTTCTTTGAAAATGTAAACATGATATCAAATGACATCGCAGTATGTTTTTCTGCCATTCCACATGAGTTAGATCTGCTAAAACTCTTATCAGCTAGTTCAGAAGTATCTCATATGTCTGTCTTTACATGTTCAACTGTTTACCCCTGTGTTCCCCTAGTTCCCTGTGGAGGTGGTGTGGTTAATGTTTTGCTATAACATCTATTTACAAGGTCATGTTCACTGGTTGTCCTCATCCGAAAAACCCTGCATGACTTTTAATTAAGCCTCTTTAGGAACAACAGATGCATGTGTGGTCTGTTGCAGTGCACTGTCAGTTTTGACCGACTTCAAAGAGTTTATTACCCCGTTCTGTTTGTGTGTTGGTTGATGTGGTTTTAAGCAAGATTACACAAAAACAGAAGTATACAGATTTCCACAAAAAAAGGTGGAAGGATGCAGAACGGCTCAAGAAAAAAACAATTACTTTTCTTTAAACGTTTAGAGATAGGACAGGACATTTTTTTGACATTTTCACTTATTTCTATAAGTGAGTGTTATTTACTTCAGGTTATTGACTTCGAGGACTGTTGGGCTTTGGTGGAGGTTTGCTTTGGGGAGGTGAAGAGGGTACAGAGCAAATCCATTATGTTAAATGTAATCCAATTTAAATCCAAGATTGACAAGAGGCAGTCTGTTTCACAACATATACAAGTAGACAAATCTGTTGTATTATATCGCAGCCACAAGGTTTGAGATTTCACTGATTACAAAATTGATTTCACAACCCCTTCTCAAAGTTCCTCAAACTGTGGATTGTGTCAGATACAGCTGTACAGTCAAGTAGAAAGAGGGAAGGAAAGTAAGGGTGGCGGCAGATGGCAGGTGTGGATGATGGGCTCATCCATAATGAATCCACATTGACAGGTTAATATGTACTTGTACATATACACAAACATAAATTGTATGTGGCATCTCTTCTGGATCTTGAGGCTTGTGCAATCTAAACAAAGCAGGACTGAAGGAAGGCGGGCCGGCAGTGTCTTCTAGTGGAGGTTGTTCCGGGGTGCGAGGGGGAGGTGGAATGGACAAGACAGACTCTCCTCTCTTCTTCCTGTCTGCCTTGGGTGAATAGGTGATTATAACAGCAGATGTGTCATTAGGTCTGAGCTGTATTCATTCAGATGCAGGGTGAGGAGAAGGGTGACGAGGGAACGTTTAGAGGGGGGGGGGTGCTCCACAGGAATCACATTTCACTGGCGTTAAGTGAATTTACGGGATGTGCCAAGTTGTTTTCTTACCCTCTCCCAAACACACACACACACACACACACACACACACACACACACACACACTCCTCCTCGTTTCCTCACCCTCGTCACCCCCAGCTGTCCTTCCATGGCATTGCTAGGCAGGAAGCTCCCTGAAACAGATGCATACATATGCACGAAAATCCATGCTACTTTAGAAATTCAGAAAGTCCTGTTATATTAAACACATTTATTTAACCACACAGGCAGCCAATGACTTTGAACATTCTTCTGTTTACGAAAGTACTCGGTTTAAAGGCATGTTGGTGCACGCTCGGTGCAGAGATCAGGTGACTGAATAGGACAAGTCTCCTCTGATAGAAAAGCAGCGGGCTCTGACAGATCTCAGAAAACTCAAGCTGATGTTTATCACTGAACAACAGTTCAAATGAGATTAGGTAAGTTTGCTGTGGGAATTTCGATTAATCTGCTGATATGGTGCATGACAGCGGTGGGCGATGTGTGTGTGTGTGCTCAACAGATTTGCTGTGGATAAAGTAGATCAGCCTGTGGACTAATCTTACTAAATGATCGAGCCAAGGAGATCCTGCAGTAGCACGTTTGCAGCAAAGCCCAAACTGTATCACATCATATTGTATTTTGGTGACATTGATTTGTATTTCTAAGAGGCCCATATCACATTAATACAAGGAGACAACTGGGTAAACAGGAGAAATATGAAAGAAAAAAATATATGCCTTTGTGTTGCGCAAGTTACTTTTACATGCTTAAGTGTTTTTGTATATGGAACTTAGACATGTTAGGCTCCACACACTTTCGAAACTGTGTGTGTGTGTGTGTGTGTGTGTGTGTGTGTGTGTGTGTGTGTGTGTGTGTGTGTGTGTGTGTGTGTGTGTGTG